TCTCTTCAACAACGACAAGAATGTTCTACCTGTCTGATTTGACAACATCCTAGGACAATAAGGACTTCATCTTATGGGACACACTTTTCAAGAAGCATTAAATGAAGATGTACCATCTCCTGGAGCTAAAGGACAAAACCCTAATGCTTTCCACACCTTCAACGGCTACATGGTACAACCTCATAAATGGAGCATTTAATGCATGAAGCTCCCCGGTCCTTGTCCAATGGTTAAAAGGTTCGAAAATTTCATCCCCCTCCAACGGATGAATTTTCATCACCTATATAAACCCACCTTCATCAACTAAGAAGGTGCTAGTTCATTCTCACTCGACTTACTTACTTGCAAAAGCTCTTGAAACGCTGACCATTTACTAAAAGCTTTTGTGAACCAGTACTGAGGTGCTAAGTTACTTGAAGAAGATTATTGATCTTTTTCTTACACCTCAAAGGAAGTCTTGCCATTTGTTTGAAGCCATCATATCTCAGAGTCAAGACTTCATCGTTGGAGAATTCAAGAAATCATTTTCTACCAACCTCAACTCAAGAGAAGAAGTTGATAGAGGCGGAGTAAACTCGAGGAGTTGAAAAACCTACGAAGGCTGTCCGCCTTAGTGATCAAGGAAGTCTTTGTGTAATTGTACTAAGAGTGATAGTGCAATCCTTCCATCAGTTGTGGAAGAAGAGTGGAGTAGGCAACGTTAGCCGAACCACTATAAAATCTCGTGTCCCTTCTTTCTCCTTACTTACGCTTTTCTTTTCTGCATTCATATCATTCCACTTATCACCGTTACCGAAAGTTTTTCTAATTACGCAAACCCGTACAAAGTATTTAAAACGAATCTATCTTATCCGCTGCGCCAAGACACCGAAAGGTGACGATTAGGGCTTTTCACGAAAAGAGTCTATTCACCCCCCCCCCCCCTCTGGACTCTCATTTCATTCTATCGGGACCAACAGGATGCAATGCATGGACTATCGTCAACATACCAAGAAGATCAAGCGAAATAAGTCCCGCGAGCCCCTCTCTGATAAGGAAACAAAGAAAGTAGAGCCTATGGAATTGGATCGAACGAGAAGGATGAGATTGGGTTCTAATGGATTATATGAATCCTGGGGTTCAGATTATACAACCCAAATATATGATTGAATATAATAAATAAATAATGAAACGATAATATGGGTAGAAATAATATACGAATTAGCGTCACATGGACGAATATTGCATTAATTGAGTGTGTAGTGCTATTACAGAGGTCCGGGACATGTAATAACAAGACAATTATAGCAAGAAGGTAGAAGATGCCTTGATTAGGACATCAAGGAAGAAATTTATAGCCAATGTCTCCATAACAACCCCGGAGAAACCGTTGGAGATGCCCCCAACCGCCTTGGGTCGCAACAATAGCCGCATGACTCGGGCAATGCGGAGACCTCGTCCCTGGCCGAGCTCCGCTAACCCCATGTAGGCCGACCCTGGGTGACCGAGCGCGCGCTGGCCGAGCCCGTGGTGGCCGAGCCTACGTGGGCTGACCCCGGGGTCCGAGCCCCTATTGGCCGACCCTGGGGTAGCCGACCCCAAGGTGGCTGAGGACCCCGGGGTGGTAGTCGAGGACCCCGGGGTGGTAGCCGAGGACCCCGTGGTAGTAGTCGGGGACCCATGGTAGTAGTCGAGGACCCCGTGGTAGTACCGAGGACCCCATGATAGTAGTCGAGGACCCCGTGGTAGTATCGAGGACCCCGTGATAGTAGCCGAGGACCCCGTGGTAGTAGCCGAGGACCCTAGAGAGGCAGACCCCTCCATGGTTTGTCCGGCCGCGTGCGTAGTCAAGTCCTATTTTAATTTGAAATTCCTATTTTACCATTCTATTATTAAATTGTTTGTTAAGTTTTCCGTTAGCTGCAAACCGTATATTAACGCTGGGGACCAAACTCGTCGCTTCACTCATAATTGAGGGACTAAACTCGGTTACGATCATAACTTAGAGACTGATTTGAGTCGGAACTTGATTATAACTCAGGGACCAAAGATGTAATTTTTTCAAATATTTTTGTTGTATTATTTAGTAACACACCGTACCTTTCCATCTTCGTTTCTTAGATCTTTAAATCTTTTATCGCGTACCTTTCTTTCGTTTATTAAATCCTTTGCACTAAATTAACACTAATCATTCAGTTTCTGTTAGGCTTGGTAGGCTGGTAGCTTGAAAATATAATAACAAAAATAAAAAAAATTAATTGACCGTCATTTTAGGATCACTAGCTAGTAAGTCAACCAATCAATCATTCAACTACGAATATTAAAATTTAGTAGGAACCTTAGTATTAAGTCTTGCATTCAAGATACACACGCTTTTTCAAATATACATTCAATGTGTTAGACATGTTATTCAGTTTCTTTTTATACATACTGTAGTTTCATTTCAGCAAAACTAAAGTATCACTTCAATTCAATTACAGTTCTATTTGACAATATATACTCAAAATGTGAGACATGTTATTCAGTTTCATTTTATACATACTGCAGTTTTATTTCAATACAACTAAAGTATCATTTCAATTCAATTACAATTTAATTTGATAATATAAACACAAAAATGTGAAACAAGTTATTCAGTTTTAGTTTAGATACACTGTAGTTTAATTTTGTTATTAATACACAAAAATTACGTAATTTGTTAAAATTTAACGATTACCATTTCTTTACCTACCTTAAAAAACAACACTATTTTCGGACCACGGTCCACGGTATAACAACCCAATCATTATTGTATGGACCATGGTCCACACAAGTTGTGTGAATCATATTTTGTTTATGATAAAATAATGTACATTCAGTACAAAAATAATGTACATTGTATTTAGGGGATGTACATTATTTTTATTCTTAGTGTACATTATATTATATAATGTACATTCAGTACAAAAATAATGTACATTTAGCATCTTAAAATGTATTTTTTGTTATGGTCCAGATAACATTGTATGGACCATGGTCCACACAATAATTTGCCATAACAACCGATATTTTCCCAAACGTTAATGACAACAGAAATAAGAATTATAAGATGTCCCATTACGAGTGTAATAAATATTTTTTTATTGTATTAATCAATTTTGGACATACAGTATATTTGACTATGTAATTATTTCTACTAGGAGTGTACGTGATTTCGATTGGATTGACTTTCGTAAATTTGAAAACCAAGTGGATGAAAACAATAATTCACAAAACAAAAACAAAAAAGTCAAACCAAGAATCCATTCTTTCATATCAATTGATTTTTATTTATTTTTTTTAATTTTAAAAATAAAGTTAAATAGACTACGGCTAAACTTATTCCTATAAATGTACCATTTGCAAGATGAGGTGGCTAATGCGACATATATATATATATATATATATATATATATATATATATATATATATATATATATATGGGTGTTGCTATTTGCACCACCCTTTGACTAAAATGAGGTATAAAGTACATTGAAAATATAAAAAGATTGTAATTTATAATAAATATATAGGTGGTGCAAATAGCCTAATGGGTGGTCAAAATGCTATTTGCACCACCTTATTAAAACTGCATTTATTAGATTTAAGTAATAATAAATTAATTCAAAATTTAATTCAAAAAAAAAAAAAAAAAAAAAAAAACAAGGAAACCATCGCCTTTTCCGGTGAGAAGGTAGCCCAGTGGGCCGCCTTCTCGCCGGAGAAGGCAACCCACACAGGAAACATAACCCCGAATGGCTAAAATAAATATGGTGGATTCCAAAGTGTCACTGCATGGAAAGTGGACACCAAGATAGGAAAACCGTCTTTGTGGAGTGCATTTCTCTCCCATAGAGACTCGCTGTCCGCGTTAGCGATTTAAGCTTGCCGTATGTCACCAGTATTTTGTAATTCATTTCTTTCATTTAAAATATGTAGTCTTAGTATTCCAATGTTATATTCTAATTTAATATATTATATTATTTCAATTTATCCGTGTCAGACTTTTAGGACTTTGTTTTTAGAAATGTTGTATTTCAATTAAATATGATATATTATTCCCATTTATCTATGTCAAACTTTTAGGACTTTGTTTTTAGCAAAGTCCTATTCGGACTTAGTAGTCCGTGAGTTTTAACACTTTTAATTGACCCCGTTTGTCATTTTGTGTGGCTGTAGCAATCAGAATTCATCTGATTGCTACAGTCATACGGAAAAAAAAAAAAATTGTTATATATGTAGATTAAAAATCTTTTATGACATTATTTAATTAAAAGTGTTATTTTGATGTACTTGTAAGTGAAAAAAAAAAAAGAATTTACTAGACTGTTGAACTAAAACATTCGATTTTATTAATGATTTAAATTTGGACATTGCATAGAAGAGTGTGTTGTCTTTCGACAATACTTACATTTTGTTCTGCGATTGCTACTAAAGTCCATTTCATTGGGAAATCTTGTTGTTCGTCGTTGGCCTCTTTGTGTTCGTCGCTTAGCGTTAATAGGCGGAAGGTAAGTGATATGATTTGTCCACTGAGTATTTTCGGCCAACGGATAGAAATTACCTGCGTAAGCATTCCTATAGTTTTGGACGGAGTAAACTTGTGGGACGAATTGGTAAAATGCCTCCCTTCGGAAATTACAAGCTGCTATCACATGTGCACACGGTATTCCGTCCACGTTCCACTTGCCGCAGTTGCATGTTCGTTCATCCAAATTGATGTGAAAATGATGGTGCAGACCGTGAGCCATGTATCCAGAAATTATAGCAACGCCGTAAATGCCAAGAGTGTCATTATATCTTTCAATGCTTGCATTTTTTACTCATTTTCTCTAGCAACCAAATCTTCATGAATCTTTGGCGTGAAAAGCATTTGCTGTTGATGCAGCATCTCCCCCGCAGTACGCCTATCGGCAAACATTGTCCGTAACTTGTGAAAAGTTATTCGTGCGCTTGCCGTGACAGGCAACATTTGGCAACTCTTAATCGAGTTATTAAATGACTCAGATAGATTGGTTGTCATAATGCCGTACCGATGACCCCCCATCGTGACATAATGTCCATGCCTCTTCATCGAGTTCTGCCAGATAGTTGTATGCATTGGGCCAGTTTTGTTGGATGGTCTGCATGTTTTCATTGAATTGATTTGTTGTAACAGCAGTACCAGCTTCCCAAATCAATCTACGTAACCACCGATTTCTGCTGACCTTTGTCAGGACATTGCTCCGAAGGTGTCTAAGGCAATACCTATGTTTCACTCGGCCATGCAATTGTCTGACGTTCTTAAACGCCGCATCAATTCCAGCATGTCTATCCGAAACGATGCACATTGAATCGTAATCGGGGAAGACATGTTCAGCGAGTAGTCGTAGAAACCAAGTCCAGCTAGCATTATTTTCCGAGTCAACTATTGAATAAGCCAGTGGATATATTTCTTTGTTTGCAGTGTATCCGCATGCTAGAAGGAGATGCCCTTTGTACCGATTGTACAAATGTGTACCATCAATACAAATAACTGGGACGCAGGAGCGGAATCTATCAATTGCCGACATGAAAGCCCAGAATGCATACTTGAAATGCATGTATTCAGAACCACGTAGTTCGGAAGGAATACACTCCATCTCAACAATCGTTCCCGGGTTGGACACTTGCAAGTTACACAAGAATTGTGGGAGATCATTGTAGGACTGTTGGAAATTCCCGTACTGCATTTCAATGCATTTTTGTTGGGCGTACCATGCCTTCCTGTACGAAATGTCCACACCGTAATGTTGACTCACATCAACTTGGATGTGTTTGATTTTGTACTGTGGGTCAACAGCGATCTTTTGGAAAATCAAATCGCTAATTAGTGCGCTATTGCACATTCTGTATGCCCCTCCTTGGTTGTATTGTACTGTGCAGTCATGTGTATCAAAGAACTTTGTCACCATCCATTGAGAAGATACCCCATGCAATTTCCTTGCAGATAATGTCCAGCCACAAGAAGGAATTGCATTGAAATTTTGACACAAGACTTTCCAATTATTTTTTTTCTTGTGATTCGTTATGAAGCTCCGCCTCTGATGAATACTGTATGTTGATACAGCTTTTTTTAGTGTGGGAAAATCTGGGAAAACCATTCCGATGCAAATGACATTTGTTGAGGGGTCATATGACATCATTTCTTGGTCATCCCTCTCTGTAAACCCGTGGCTGAATGTCGTTGTCATTTGTGGTATTGGAGAATGGTAGAAAGGAATAGCAGAATCAGGGACAGTTGTACTTCGACCACCATATTGTTGAGCAGTTTGTCCCATAGTCTGGAAGTTAACTGCAACTGTGTTCATCTATGTCCTCGTCCGTAGTATAGTCATTGCTTGATGGTATTGACTCAGGTACATAACTCTCATCTGTCTCTGAAGAAGTTTCCACGATCGTTGAAGAAGATGGTGTGGCATGAGAAGTATAACTCCCGAAATAAGAGGCCATAATAAAATATTGAATCAAATTGTGTTGGTGGGTATTGAAAAATTGGTTGTGGTGTGTATGGTAAATAGAAAATTTGGATTTGGATCTTGCTTGAACAGTGGTGAGCCTGAAAAAAAAATGAACACATGCGGAGGGTAAATAAAGGGGAAGAAGCAAATGGACTCAGCTAGTCCAACTGTTAATTATTTTTAATTTTTATTGAAGTTGCACTCCCCTAGTCCTACTGTTATTTATTTTTTAAATTTTATTTGAAGTTGGACTCCCCTAGTCCAACTGTTTAAAGTTTCCATCCATATTTTATGTTCAGTTAATGATAATACAGTTAATGATAATAAGCATACATTTGCGCAAATTTTTTTTTTTTGAGAATATTTTGTTTGAAATAGAATATTTATATTCAATTAATTATAATAAGCAATCATAGTAATTTTTATTTTTTTTTAACAATACACATTGAAGTAATGATATAAGGATACATAGTAATTTTTATTACTTTGAAAGTAGATGTTTATATTCTTCAATGATTGCATAACTCTCATAGCATGTTCATGAGTCTCCCGTGCTATTTCGTGCTGCATACGTTCAAAAATCTCGACCTTAGAAGTTTTTGTACATTGTGATTTGTGGTACTACTTGAACTGCATTGTCTTCCGACATAGTTTTGTTGATTGTTTATGAATTTGTTGAAAGCTTGAATGGCTTCATCTTTACTGGTATATGATTTATATAAATTGTCGCTAAATCGATGCACTTGAGCTTTTGCATCCTCTCAGTTTTCATATATTCCCGGTTGTCGACCGATAAACATAACATATGTCTTCACCTAATATTCAATATCTTGTTAGGGGAGTACTATTAATATAATGAAGACAAATCAAAGTGAAGAGTACGTACCATTGTAGTTTAAATCACAAGCTTGATGACTTGGTTGAAGTGGTAAAACTACAAACGATATGCTTATTGATGAGCAAAATAGATGTTTCCTCCTTTCCAATATGGTATTCAGGAAACACATAAATTGTATGGTCTTCACGAAACAAAGAAATTGATGGGGCTTTAAATAAGGGTATTGAATAATCGGTATGGAGTAGTCAAACTACAATTCAATATTTATTGTTTTAAATATTTAAATATTTATTTTGACATGCTACTATATCACACTTTTTTTTGAGAGAAGATATATGTTTTGGGAGAAGATATGAGGATAAAGTTGGACTTCCCTATACAAGTCAAACTTTACAATATAATCTGCAAATTTTTTTCGAAAAAAGTGTTGTCATTTGAAGTAAAGTTGCACTCCCCCACTCCAACTTTACAATACAATCACAAATTTTTTTCGGAAACATGCATGCAGAGGCATGCACCAACTTTATTGTTTCGAAAATTGGATGCACAAAATTCGGTTGGTCAAGTAAAACTTTAAGTGTTTTCAAAAAAAAAGTAATTTTAAGTCACACTTTACAAAAGAATCTGCAATTTTGTGTTGAAAAAAAGTGTTGTCATATGAAGTAAAGTCCCATTCCCCCAATCCAACTTTACAATATTTTTGAAAATAAACTGCACCAACTTTATTGTTTCGGAAATTGGATGCACAAAATTTGGTTAGTCAAGCCAAACTTTAAGTCACAGTTTACTTTATTGTTTCGAAAATTGGATGCACAAAATTTGGTTAGTCAAGTCAAACTTTAAGTCACAGTTTACAATAGAATCTGCAATATCGAAAATTGGATGCACAAAATTTGTTTAGTCAAGTCAAACTTTAAGTCACAGTTTACAATAGAATCTGCAATTTTGTTTTGAAAAAAGTGTTGTCTAAAGTAAAGTTGCACTCCCCCAGTCCAACTTTATAATATTTTCGAAAATGAGAAGTAAAGTTGCACTCTCCCAGTCCAACTTTACAATATTTTTATTGTTTCGAAAATTGGATGCACAAAATTTGGTTAGTCAAGTCAAACTTTAAGTCACACTTTACAATAGAATATGCAATTTTGTTTTGAAAAAAGTGTTGTCATATGAAGTAAAGTTGCACTCCCCCAATCCAACTTTACAATATTTTCGAAGATAAACTGCACCAACTTTATTGTTTCGAAAATTGGATGCACAAAATTTGGTTAGTCAAGTCAAACTTTAAATCACACTTTACAATAGAAATTTGGTATATGAAGTAAAGTTGCACTAGCCCAGTCCAATTTTACAATATTTTCAAAGTTTTGTTGCACCAACTTTATTGTTTCGAAAATTGGATGCACAAAATTTGGTTAATTACATTTGTACTTCCCTAGTCAAGATTGTTTCGAAAATTGGATGCACAAAATTTGGTTAATTAAATTTGTACTTCCCTTGTCAAGTCAAAAGAGGAGTAAACTTGTACTTCCCTAGTCCAACTTTACTTTAGGAATTTCGAAAAAGAGGTCTGAAAAGAGATGTGAAAAAGGGGAAAACGAAAATTTAAAAGATATGTAATCCAAATAATAAAAAAAATTAACATACTAACCGCTTCGTTGAGTGAAACCGCACACTACACAAAACCGTCGTTTTGGTAATGCATCGGGTTACCAATGACACGGCGCCCATGCCGGTAATACCAAACCTGCTACGCATTGTGCGCTTGCGGTTCAGCAGTAAGATTCATTTGTACGACATATTGATTTCGTAAATTCCACACAGCAATATGCTCCTGATGTTTCTCTAATCAATTTGTACCTGTATTGCCACGTTGGTCAATGTCGTGCAACGCTTGCGAGTAAACCACAGATGGTGGGATAACTTGTAACCCATGGAACTTCCTGCAAAATCGCTCCGGATAATGATATTCCACAACATGATAGAAGATAAGTGACACATGCGCTGTCCAAAGCGCCGATCCGGCCTTGCAGTAATATGGCAGTTCCTCGATCAATCCAGCATATGGAGTAAACACGAACTGTAAACGAATATTATAATTCTGGATTACTAACTTACGAATATATTATCAATAAAAAAAAAAAAAAAAAAAAAAAAAAAAAAAAAAAAAAAACAAGACTTTTTATTCAACTTACACTTTGTTCCGATAAGCGATCGAATTGATCACGGTATGTGATTGTGGTGTGATTTGGCACTATACCCCATGTGTGTGCACATACCCACCTACAACAATAACATTGCAAACAAAATATAATATAATTCTAGAATGTTAGTACATGTAATACGTAAAAGGATACTTACCGATATGCAAGAGGGTAATCTGAGATCTCTGTGAGTGGCAGAACATCTTGTGGCCGTACCATTGGCAACCTCTCTCATGCCCAAATTTGTAGAAGAAGAAAACAACCACAAACCGTTGAAGTTCTCTGCCTAGCACCTCTGCACAATGAACGGTACAAATATCCCAAAACAGCCAATCCCCAACTGTATTGTCCACATAAGTCAAAATTTCTAATATACTCTAGCAAGTATGTTTTATAATACACCTTGCTTGTGTCCGGAAACAAAAAACCATTTAATAAATGAAAAATTAAACGACGTGTTTCCAAAGTCACCGATTCCTGTGTGCTACCCTCGTTTAACTGGCCAACCTCCGGAACCACAGTCCCATTAATATTTGTCCTGGTCATGAACTGCGGTGCCAAATAAAATCCAAGCAGTTCAAAGCAATTTCTCACAACTTCAGCTGGTTCATATACAGTATCGTCCCCCAACACTGGCAACCCGTCCACCTTCAGCCCAAATAACACTTCCGCATCCTGATCGAAGTGTTATTCCGACCTCACCAAATTGCATATGAAATGCATGCACTTCCGGCCGCCATCGCTCAAGAAGTGCAGTAATTAGCCCATTGTCCAATTTAATGGACGTCAAACGAGAAATACCGTAAAATCCGGCAGTATGTAGATGTTTTTGCACTCGAGGATCAAGTGCGGCATCGCACACTGTTACAGTATCGTACCGTGCAACTTTCACTTCACAATCGTAGTTGGGATCGGTCCAAATTGCTCTACTACGATGTTGTCTTTGAAACGTTAGCACACTTCCATCAATAGGTCCAGGATTCACTCGTTGTGCCATAACTATCCTAAATAACAATCAATGATGAAACATTTTGAATCATGCCATATATTAGTATTTGTATATAAATTATTATCATGAATTGTATTAGTTTTATTTTCATGTCATATATTAGTATTATAAATTTGTATTTATGATAATCACATAGTTATAAAAAATTCACAAATTACATAATGATAAACTACATTATCTCTAATATTTATGCAATCATACAACAATTACACTACAATCATAAATATAAATTATGCCACAATCATAATAACAATCATGATATAGAAAAAAAATACACTAAAATAATAAACATACATTATGCCACAATCATAATAACAATCATGTTATTAAAGGGTAGGAATTAAAAACAATCATGTACATAGCCACAATCATAATAACAATACAATCATGTACATAAACGGCCTAGTCTAGGCCGTTTGTAATTTTTTTAAAAATTACAAACGGCCTCGACTAGGCTGTTATAAAAAAATTGTTAATGTACAGAAATGGCCTAGTCTTGGTCGTTTCTAATTGTAAAAATATTTATACACGGCCTAGACTAGGCCGTTTCAATCATTTTCCAGAGTCATTGTTTGATTCATTTTACTTTCAAAAAAACCACAAATGAATTCAATTTTCAACAAACATTCAATGGATGCATAAAAAGCACATATTCAGTCACCCTAAATTGTACATTCAAAACACCAAGAATATCACAATTTAAATCGCATTCACAAAATATAAATTTAAATCCTCTGTCTAAGATTGCCCCATCTTCTATACTCTGAGCCCGGATTCTACTATACTCTGATGAAATTTGATT